AGCCATTTCACCCATCCCTCGATAGAGCTGAGGTCAAATAATTATAAACAAGGATATTTTAATTAAATGAAACTGCATTTTTCATTCTATTTATAGTTGTCAAAGATAGCTATTTATTAATTAAATGCAGTGACTTCCTCTCTGTATATAGTAGTGTTCATAGGTAGTGGCAGAGTCCATCATTCCTGAGCTGGATTTATAAAAACCAAATAAATGTATCATGAAATACAACTTAACGTTTAAACCAGACTTATCTGTTTAGTGTTGGATGCTCAAGTCACTGCTCACTCAGGTCTGTTGTTCAACAAAAAGTTTATTTTACTGGTTTATTATTTTACAAACACATATTCACAGATGTCATATCCTTCTTTGAGAGGAACCACATCATGCATCTTGTGGTCTGAAACAGTGCAGAGCATAGTAAAGGAGGTACTGTTTTACAGAAATGTGCAATATATTCAAAGCATTGGCAAGCTTCACAGTGTTACAATGAACAAGATGTGCGTTGCTTTGATGAATACATGTTCCTTTAATTGTTAAAGTGTGATATCCTTCTACCTGCTCAAACGATGCATCTATCGGTCTATTGGTGTATGGGTCAGAGTAAACACTAAATGTTGTGAAACTCTTCAGTCAGCAGCAGTTATGAGCTGTATTTAGGTTATTAAATGTGTGTGTGATGTGTGTGCAGGGCTGAAGGAGTCGACGGAGCAGCTAGTGAAGAAGAAGTTGGAGGGGAAGGAAACCCTGACGCCGTGGGAGGGCTTCCTGGAGAAGAAGAAGGAGAAGAAGAAGCAGAAGAAAACTAAGAAGAAGGAGGTGAGTCGACCTGCCGACACATAACTGGAATGAAAGACCGTTAAACACCTGAACTTTAGAAAGAACATCCAGAACATTCATCTGTTTGCAACTCATATATATCAATATTCCAATTACTTGTATATAGACTATTCTGCACTATTTCTCCTATATATTTTTTTTTATGTACTTGCACTATTTTATCAGTGTTATTGTGTTGCTCTGTAGGAGGAGCCTGTGACCTCAGATTGTCACTGTCATAACTACACTGTAGCTATGCACACATGACGATAAAAGCCTTGAACCTCCTTGAAAAGTTAGATACTCTCAGTGTATAAGAAATAAGGCGGCTTCAATTCCCTTATTTTAAGTAACTTCCTTACCAGTTGTCATTATGGCCGTTGCTTTTCTAGCACTGACTGAAATAATCCTCAGTCACAACTCGGCGAATCAGAAAGCAGCAAATCTGTCAGAACTACTTTAGGAACTCAACTAACTCCTAACAACATTTCAGTTTCCCCTAATGGTGTCTATCAGAGTTTTCTTTATCAGTTTTATATATGTAAGGAGGCGTGTGGTGCAGTGGGTTGAGCGTTGGTGTTCAGATCAGGGGTTCAAACCCCCCTGCAGTCAGCATGTCGTTGTGTCCCTGAGACACCTCACCCCAAATTGCTCCTGTGGGGATTGCCCACAGTATTGAGTATGTAAGTCGCTTTGGAGAAAAGCGTCTAACAAGTAACAAGTAATGTAATGTAATGTAATATATTTCCTCTCCTCAGGGCGAGGAGGAAGAGGAGGCTCTCAGTGACGACGAGCTTCCTCCAGACGTCGATCTCAACGACCCGTTCTTCGCCGAGGAGCTCAACGCTGCAGGTAATCAAAACGTATAAATGACATAAAAAATACGTCTATCAAAGAAGGGTTTTGCAGTTGATTTACAAAGAGCTGTGTTTATACGGTGTGTGTGTGTTTTAGTTATTACCTTAGGACGCTATAAGAGATGACTTCTTGAATGTATTTAGTTTGTGTGTGTTGCAGCAGCATAAAGCAGGTGATACTTAGGAGTAGGGGTAGGGCTGCTCGATTATGGCAAAAATCATAATCACGATTATTTTGGTCAATAATTGATATCACGATTATTAAATACGATTATTAATTGACTTTGAAAACATCAATTTATTGAACTTTAAAACAAATAATAATTTGAACAGTATCTTTTTAACTGTTGATTACCCTGAACGTATAATTCAACTGAAAAACCAATACACAAATAAATAAAATAAATAATATCAAAATAATAAATACCAATAAACAAGATCAACAAATATTTTGGAGCGCACTTCCACAAGCTACTAAACATATATAAATATGATAAATAAAAATAAATTAGACTAAAATTAATTAGATCAAATATGTTGCAGTGCAGTCACAACCTAGCAAAGCAAAATAATCGTTTTTTTCGATTATGTTGTTTTCGTAATTGTGGCAGGCCAAAATCGTAATTGCGATTAAAATACGATTAATTGCACAGCCCTAATTAGGGGTGTCACAATATACCCGTGTTGTCGATACAAATAATATTTAATATAAAATAAAATTGTTATATCATGTTACTGAACCACCGGATAATAAATATACGCTTTTGTATAGTTTAGGTTACAGATCATTTCCCCACATTTGTCAAAAAAGAGACAATAACATTTTTCTTTGCCACCAAATGTAAAGTTTTCTTCATTTGTCCGGGATAATCGTTTAGTGAAAATCCGATATCTACTCTGAAAGGTTTGGTATCAGTGTTGTTTGATGTGTCCGCAGACAAGCAGAAGACACAGAAGACACAGAAGGGGAGGAATAGGAAGAAGAAGAAGGAGGAGGAGCGCACACCTCAGGAGGAAGAGGAGCTGCAGAAACAAAAGGTCAGAGTTCAAATCCAACAGATCCACAGCGGCTCATCACATCTGTGGTGAAGGAAGCACACTCTCAGCCATGATGCTAAACGTGTGTGTGTGTGTGTGTGTGTGTGTGTGTGTGTGTGTGTGTGTGTGTGTGTGTGTGTGTGTGTGTGTGTGTGTGTGTGTGTGTGTGTGTGTGTGTGTGTGTGTGTGTGTGTGTGTGTGTGTGTGTGTGTGTGTGTGTGTGTGTGTGTGTGTGTGTGTGTGTGTGTGGTGTGTGTGTGTGTGTGTGTGTGTGTGTGTGTGTGTGTGCGCAGGCGGAGATGGCCCTGCTGATGGAGGACGACGATGACGAGTCGAAACACAAACACTTCAACTACGACAAGATCGTGGAGGAGCAGAACCTGAGCAAGCTGAAGAAGAAGAAGCTGCTGAAGAAGAAGGGCGAGGAGAAGCTGGAGGGAGACGAGTTCCAGGTCTGTTTAGAGATTTCATCGTGGGGTGGGATGTCTGGGTAAAGACAGCTGGAGGAGTACTCTAAAAGTTACATTCTGAAAAGTAATGTAGGGACCCAAATGTCAAAACATATTTACCCACTTTAGCTGGAGTTGTGATTATCCATGTAGAATTAGATTTGTGGAGCTTTACCGTGAATGGGAACATTTTACTTTAAGCAGCCACACCTTTTTAGCCTTTAATTCTTAACCATTAATACATGGTTTATAACACACTATAGTATATATTAAATGGATACAAGTGTTTATTAACAACCTAAACTCCTCCTGTAAGCACCCATAAGTAGGGATGCTCCGATCGATCAGCCTCACTCTCTGCCGATCGATCGGTGCTCTCTAAAAATGCAGATCGGGAGAGCCGATCACATGACGTAAAATACATGACACTTTTCTCTGTGCGCGGCAAAACAAGCTCGCCAAAATGGCTTCACTAGTCTGGCAGTATTTTAAGGTGTCCGAAAATGACAGTAAAATAGCGGTATGCAACGTGTGTGAAGCAGAAATCCTGCAGCTCCACCCGCTGTGACGGACCGGTGAGCGGAGCAGAACACACTAAGAGTTAGACCTAACGCACTTAGCTATTTGATCTACCTCTGGAACTAGCTAAACTAGTTATAAATATATTTATTCTTCACTGCCGGGGCACTCATTACTGGATCAGTGAGCTGCAGGAGATACTGACAGGCTGTCAGGAGAGGGAGAGGGAGAGAGAGAGGGAGAGAGAGAGAGAGAGAGAGAGAGAGGGGGAGAGAGAGGGGGAGAGAGAGGGGGAGAGGAAAAGAGAGCGCTTCCGCTCATTTCTCCCGTGTTATTAAAAAAGAACTTTGTCTAATCGATGGAGATTACACGCGTCCAACTAGATCACTCAGTTCAGCCCATCCCTCGGTGACACTGAGTTGTAATATTAGTCACTACGGAGTAAAACAAGTGGATTACTTCACATTAAACGTGGCATTAAGTATTTACCAATATCTGAAGGACCCAGATTGAACTTCTTACATTACGTTGCTTTTACCCAGCACTGTTAGACATTACGCTTTTATTAATTATGCAAAATAATTATTAACACATTATGCTAAAAAAAGTTAGAAAAAATGGCCTGATGGAGAGAAATGAGAGGTTTCAGATTGAGGGGTGGAGGTCATCATATTATTGGATAACTCATTGAATGCTTCTGGTAAAGGAATGTGTTGAAAGTGTGTTGCTCTGTTGTTTAAGCGATAAAACAAACCCAAGTACAGTGAGTGAACTATATCTTATTTAGCACTAATCCCTCTCCCTTCCCCTCTGTGTGTCCAGGTGGACGTTAAAGACCCTCGTTTCCAGGCCATGTTCACGTCCCACCTGTTCAACCTGGACCCCTCCAACCCCAGCTACAAGAAGACCAAAGCCACGCAGAGCATCCAGGTGGAGAAACAGAGGAGGCGAGAGGAGGAGGAGCAGCGGCGCACCGAGGAGCAACTCCGCGCTCAGAGCCTCCCCAAAACACAGGGGGAGAAACGGGAGAATGAGAATGACTCGGAGGGCGCTGAGACCACCTCCAAGAAAGCAATAGACCCCAGTCTGTCTCTGCTCATCAAGTCCATCAAAAGCAAAACGGAGCAGTTTCAGGCCCGGAAGAAACAGAAGCTCATGTAGGGTTCACTCCAGAGACGCTTCCTAACATCACAAAGAAACGTTGACTGAGAACGTGGACTGCTGTGTTTATTCCTTTTGTATGTGTTTGTACAGGAAAACTAGTATGAGATGAGGAACTGTGCAAACTTTGAGTAAAACGTAATCCTGCTACATCAGATCCTGTGGAAATCTTTTATTGTGACTTAGAAAATCTGTTTTAAGAAGACATCTTTCACAAGTTATTACAAAAAATCACTTCAGGAGATTGGACATTTAGCAAGAAAAGCAGTCATTCTGATTAATTTATAAGCAAAATAACTGTTTTGGATTGGTCCTTAGATCTGACAAAACCTCATCTAGTCATATCATCCTCAAAAACATTCAGTCAATTATCTCTACACACACATTCGTAGGGAACTTAGACGACTCAGGCCTGCTGGCATGGTGCAGTTTGTTGTTTTGTAAAATAAGGTTCTCTCTCTCTTTGACTTTTACAGAAAACACCTCAAAACCTGCCCCATGCTCACTATTTCTCCACTTTAATCAGAGAATAAAAGCAGGATGAATCCATTCTTGAATAAAACTACCAGAGGTTAGATAATCATGTGGAATCAGAGGCACTTGAAATAAGTATTAACATCTAAAGAACAGCTGCATTAGTTCAGAGGGAGATGCATTGAAAGGTTGATCCATTATTTCGTAGCTCCTTTCAGACATGACACAGGATCTTGAGTTTAGCAAGTTATATGTGGACTGGATGTTGTTTACATATTATTATTATTATTATTATTAATTCAGTACAACTCACAACATTTTCATGTGGGCAAGAGAAAACAGAAAGCGTTGCATGAGCAGAGAGAAATGCTCACCGCTCCAGGACGGTAAAGGATGGGGTTTAAAACATTTTGCACACGGCTCGGAGGATATTTCTGTAGTGAGACTGCCATAAATCGGGGTCACATGATCATGATGTTAAACAGCATGGCGACAAAAAGCAAAAAAAGAGTCCTTTTGGAAAGCTACCAGAGCTGCATGACGAGTGGTGTGATTTGTGTTGTCTGATGAAATGAAGCTGTTTCTCTGGCATTACAGGAAGAAAGCGCTCCTGACTTCACAACTTACTGACTAACATCCACCTGACAATCACTTTTCAACTAGTAGCTCAGGTAGCTTTCAAAATAATGTAAAGTGTAGATTTCCGTTGGTCGCCGTGCTGTAAAAACATCTTGATTGTATGTGCGTGGTAAATGCCAATGTGCCTAATCGCCTCTCTTAGCCGAGTAAAACATATTTGGTTTTGAGAAGGCAGATAACATGTCATGTCGGAAAGGGGTTTAAATTCACAGTGAATAGTGTTTGTCTCCTACGGTCCGGGGTATTCAAAGACAGCCGCCGCTCCCATCCCAGTCCCGATGCACATGGACACGACTCCGTACGCTCTGCAGACAGAACACAGTGGTTTAGACGCACTTCAAAGAGGTCTCATGTGTCTGTGATAAAGGAGATGATGTCTCTGATCAGACGAACCTCTTCCCTCTGCGTCGCAGCTCGTGCAGCAGCGTGACCACCTGCCGCGCCCCGGTGCAGCCCAGAGGGTGACCCAGAGCGATGGCCCCCCCGTTAGGGTTCACCTTCTCCAGAGGGATCCCCAGGTGCTCCACGCAGTACACGGCCTGGGCAGAGGGAGGGGCAGTGAGATGAAATAATACATGACAAAAAAACAACTAGCTTCCTGTGAGATCATAATGACCTTTGTTCATTCTTAAGTTCAAGTGCACGTTTGTACTAAATGTGCATCTCCTTAACATGCAGAAACCAACCGTCGCGGAGCTCACTAATAAAATCCATCACTGTTTGGTCTGAACTCACCTGACTGGCGAAGGCTTCGTTGATTTCAAACACGTCGATGTCAGCCACGGTCAGTCCTGAGGAGGAAGCAGGAAGTTAGAAGAAGCATTTCAGCAAAAAACAATGAGCAAAGTTTCTCCTCTGGGAGCTGTGAACGTCTGTGTGCAGATGTCCCTCTGATAGATGTTTTAATATGCATTTTACTCTACAGACTAAAGGCAGCCAAACTAAAAACAAGGCTAACACGCGTATAAAGCTGTCTCTCATCCTCTCCTGGTTACAGTATATCATGTGGTCTGACTGACACCAGAGCATCTTCTTTCAAAACTTCAAACGTCCCTCAACGCAAATATATTTATTATTATAATATTAAATTATAATTATTGATGCATTCATCATGTTGCAGCGTGTAAAGGTGAACATAATTAACAGTATATACTTTGAAAGCCATCACATTCACTTTATCAAACTTAATCTGTAAAGTAAATTGGGTTGTCACGGTCAAATAAACATAGTGGCATTTACGTGAAATATTTCCCTCTGAGAAGAAATGGAGTAGAAATATGAATTAACAAAAAATGGAAATACTCAAGCTTTACAATTAGTACTTAGTCACTCACTACCATTGTGAGGTTAATGTACACACACACACACACACACACACACACACACACACACACACACACACACACACACACACACACACACACACACACACACACACACACACACACACACACACACACACACACACCACACACACACACACACACACACACACACACACACACACACACACACACACACACACACACACACACACACACACACACACACACCAGCCTGCTTCAGAGCTGCAGGGATAGCGTACGCCGGTCCGATGCCCATCAGGTCTGGAGGGACCCCCACCACAGCGCTCGCCCTCAGGACCCCGAGCACCGGCAGACCCAGAGCCTCCACCGCTGACCGCCGGCCAATCAGCACGGCCGCTGCTCCGTCACTCACCTGGCTGGAGTTACCTGAGACACAAAGTGTGTGTGTGTGAGAGAGTTAAACAAATTATAAAAAATATATAATTATTGGAATAAAAAAAACAAAAAAATTAAATAACAATATCACATCTAATTTTTGTTTATATAGCCAAATATCACAAATTACACATTAGTCTCAGGGGGCTTTAGAGTCAGACCAAGCCTAAAGCCCCCTCACTATGGAGGAAGGGTTTGTAGTGAACAGAGATAAAGTCACACAGAGATTTGAATGTGTGCGAAGATGTGTGCGAAGATGTGTGTGTGTGTGTGTGTGTGTGTGTGTGACGGACCGGCTGTGGTGCTGCCGTCCGGTTTGAAGGCGGCTCGGAGTTTGTTCAGTCCGGAGAGAGTGGTTCCTGCTCTGATCCCGTCGTCCTTAGCAACCGTCAGCTCTCGCTCGGTCCCGTCCTCGTCTATAATCCTCGTGCTGACCGGGACGATTTCCTGCTCAAACACACCGGAGCTCTGAGCCCGCGCCGCTCTGTGAGAGGAGGGAAATAACACACATTAATACTGCCGGAGACACCGGGTACATAAGGGTATAATAAGTACTTTAGTATATCAATATATTCAAAGTTCTATACACACACACACACACACATGTATATTTACACGTAGTCTGTACACTTGCTTCACCACATATATATGCAGATTAGTGTATGTTCATTTAATAAGTAAAACTTGCTGATGCGCAATCATATGACAGAATTTGCAATGGATCTTGAGGAAAATAGTGAGACAAAATCTTATACATATAATTTAAGTTTGTCATCAATATTAAAATGCGTTGATGTTTTGAGGTTTTTGACTCACTTCTGCTGGGAGCTGAGAGCGAAGGCGTCCTGCTTCTCTCTGGAGATCCCAAACTTCTCTGCTATGTTCTCCGAGGTGACGCTGAAAAAACAAAGGAAAACCTATAAAGATGAGTCCATTTTCGGGCTCTATACAATATAACATTTAGGGTAAATACTTTTGGTGACATTTTCTGTGTTATATAAATTCATTTTAGGGCTCATCACAAAATTAAAGATTGGAGCATTTTGGAGATAATTCAAAAACACATTTCTGGAACAATGTGACAGGTTTTTTGAGATTCGGGACTACACGAACAAATCTGGGGATTTTGAAAAAATACACACACACACACACACACACACACACACACACACACACACACACACACACACACACACACACACACACACACACACACACACACACACACACACACACACACACACACACACACACACACACACACCACACACACACACACACACCACACACACACACACACACACACACACACACACACACACACACACACACACACACACAACACACCACACACACACACACACACACACACACACCACACACACACACACACACACACACACACACACACACCACACACACACACACCACACACACACACACACACACACACACACACACACCACACAACACACACACACCACAACACACACACACACACACACACACACACACACACACACACACACACACACACACACACACACACACACACACACACACAGCAGTGGTCTCACCCCATGGGGATGATGCAGTCTCTGGCTTTGTCGAAGTCCGTCAGCCTCGGGCTCAGATCTCCAGGATCCCCCATGGAACGCAGCGACATGCTCTCCACGCTGACACACACACACACAGAAGGACACACACTTTTATATTCTTACTGTCAGGAAAAATGTAAATTAAATGTAAATGTAGTTTCTCAAAGTTCACATAATGATTTAACGTACCCACATGCGAGGCCCAGGTCGATGGATCCGCTCCTGATGGCTCCTGCACACACAGGGTTCAACACAGAGTAAACACCTTCACAGATATACAGTCTGTATATACATTTATAAATATATATATATATTTATTCGTTATAAAGTGATGAGAGCAGAGTTGTACCTGCGATGTTGAACAGCGCCTGCAGTCCAGAGGAGCATTGTCTGTTCACCGTGGAGACAGGAACCGTCTCTGGAAACCCGCTGAGACACACAGATTAGTAATAATTATATATATATCTTTTTTTTAAACTTATTTTTTCTAATGTATTGTTACTAACCTTACTTATCTAAATGTAAATGTCGTCATGTCAGTTGATGTCTTTGGTAGTTCATTATCTAATTTAGCAGTGATGTCATGTATGTTTTTTACGTGTGTTTTTTAAATGTTTTTTGGAGGTTAGTCTTTTTTCTGTTCATGCTTGTAAATGATGATGATGAAGATGATGATGTTGAGGATACTGACCTGAGGAAGTGAGCTATTCTGGCCACCAGAGCACCGGCACCGGGCTGCAGAACGTTACCTGCAGATAAAACACAGTGCATTTAAAGTGTGTCTTAGTTAAATGCTGCAGATAATAAGACAAGAAATACATAAATTGCAGATTTTATTCAATGTAACATAATATAACACAGAATGTGTGTGTGTGTGTGTGTGTGTGTGTGTGTGTGTGTGTGTGTGGTTTCTGCTCTACTAGGAGAACTCAATTAAGATTAAATCAATGATTCAATACAGAAATCCACTTCCTGCACCCACACAACAGGACTACGGACAAAGAACCATTTGTAAAGTCTTATCTCACCGACACAGACGTCTCCCAGTTTGTCGGCGGAGAGTCCAACGTCTGTCATCACAGCTTTCATCACGGCGCTGAGCATCTCGTCAGGCGTGGTGTCCTGCAGGAGACATTACATCAGTCTACCTCATATCATAATTATAATATCATTCAATGGTGACTGGAGGACTGACACCACATCTCAGAGGGGATATAGTACCTTTTCTCTGCACTACATTTGTCTGAAAGCTTTAGTCCAGATGTGTTTTGTATCCAGTGAAAACCATGCATGCCCAGATGTGTAGATTTTGTATGTATGTAATAATCTGAAGGATGAAATGCTCCTTTATGTTGGAACATCATTACATTTTACTTAGCTCATTCATTTAAGGTATTGCCCAAGGACATTTCAACATGTTGTGAGGAGGTGGGCTCGATCTCTGTTTAGATTTGGGGGAAATGTTATGGTCAAAAAGCTGAAAAAAGGGCTGTTTTTTCAGAGAAACTCATGAAAAGTTGAAGTTTTAGAGATACACGGTTCTGACAGGACAAAGGTACAAACATAAGAGGATGTTTTACGATATGATGCAATGCTGTAGATTAAACTAGTACATAAAGGAGTTGAAATGAGCTCAACCTTAAACATCTACAGCAGTAAAATGCAAAATACACATTAATGCAGCGGTAATATTCTTATAAAACCTCATATTTAATAATAAAACAATGACTGGGAACATCTTGGTGCACAATGAATACTTTCATTACTTTTAAGTGCTTTTTGTTAATAACACTTACACATGTGACTTAAGTAAGGTTATGAATGCAGGACTTAGTCTTTTCAGTACTTGTAATTAAGTTGTGAATACTTCTTCCACACAGGAACACAGTTGCATGCTGCAGATAACAGTTTATCTGATATAATGATTATATGTCCCTAACCTTTAGCCCACTTGGCTACATCATAATATAAAGCTTTATTTATATAGTACTTTTCTTACAGAACATGCAGTGCCTTCCAAAATGGCACACATCACAAGTTAACAATACACAACAAGAAATTCCCCTCAGATCAGATGTTAAGACCTTTACAGATGAAATAGTTCACAGATTAAAGTTATTTACTTTGAAGGCTCCTCTCTTCGCCTTGCACACAGCGGTCCTCAGCCCGTGAACAACCACCACATCCTGCGGGCTTTTGGTGACTATAGCCCCGCAGTCAGACCTCCATAAGTCCCGCCTGTGTTCAGAGGATCCGGGGGGAGACAGGTGTCCCGAAATGATCTTTAATCTGTGCATTACGACGATTAAAAAACAGTTTGTATTCACAGATCTGCACGGGCCTGTTTGTACTCTGCTCTCTGCTGTCAGGAGGACGGGGAGCGCGGAGGGACAAACTACAGCGAATCGAGTAAACCGTTTTTTTTTTTTACTCCAATCTTTATTTAAAAACTTGAATATACACAACAATTGCAGACATGTATTCAACATAATGGTACATAGAAAGATGAATAACAATGTATGTGACACTGGTTTTATAATTGAATAGGGATACATGTACTTCTATAGTATTTAATTATAAATAATACCCACGTTTTTAGAGTTTAAAAGTATTTTATTCCCATAAAAATTCATTTTCTCTTTAGTTTTTTGTTATTTTGCATTGATGTTTGTATAATGTACCGCATATAATCAGTCATTTTATTTATTTGTACTGACCTGTATTATCTTGTACATAGTTATAGATAATAGTGTTGACTTTATGTTGTATTATTTATCTGAATCTTCAATAAAAGTACTTTAAAATTGTATTTGAGTAAATATTTCTCATTGATTACGCAGCTGCTGTTTTTATTAACCTCTCATGTCTGCCAATGAGGTAGATTAAATTCATTTTGTGTTAGAAAACTTGCTCCTTTATCCGTTCATAGCACATTCATATACAAGAACTTTAAAAAAACAAACAGGTTCTGATCAATACATAATGATTTATTGTTGTTGTAATATTGTATGAATCTACAACGAAAGTATCTCAAAATGTTGCTCAAGTAAATGTACTAGTACTATGCTTGATATCACAGCATCTCTCTTTATGTCTGTCTCTGATGTCTGCTCATGTGCTGGATTCATTCAAAAAAACTCCTTAAATCACATGTGTCAAACTCAAGGCCCGGGATTTAATTTCGGCCCGCAGGATAATTTTTAATTACTATTAGATCTGACCCGCCGGTATATTGCACGCACACCTTCACTCAATCCTGAGGGTCTCCTCAGCTCAGAGCCTGACCCCAAACATTGATGACCTTGCACCCAAGATGAGATGCCAAGTATCTGGCTTGAACTAGCATCACAGAGCAGCACACTGAGTTTACATGGATGTTTCCTTCTGCACTTTCTTTCTCACGACAACAGGGCATGTTTGGTTTGTTCTTTGAGGGAAATAGTTTTTTTGAAGCTGTTGTTGGCCTGTGGAAAAATGTAATCATAAGAAATGACTCGGGGAAAGCTGCAGATAGAGCCATAAGAAATGAATGCAACTGATTATTTAATGTTTAATGTTGTTTTTATAGGCAATCATTTAAGCTTTCTTAGTTCCAGGTTTAATATGTGCAATAAGTTCATTTCAATACGTTTTGCAATAAACATTGAACCAGTCCGGCCCTCGACTAGTACCCATTTTTTGGCCCACTGTGTATTTGAGTTTGACGCCCCTGCCTTAAATGGATTCATACTAACATTTATCAACAAAAAATACGAGTAACAAATTAAAATGGTACTTTAAGAAATAACGAGTGTCTGCAGGATGAAAAAGACCAACACAGTTTTACATCTGAACCTTTTATTTCCAAATGTTTCACAACACATTCATAAGGCCACCGACTCACTGCACATTCTGGTTGGAATCAGATAACAGGAAACAAAGACATCCAAAAATATGTTTTTTTCAATATAGAATCATATAAAACAGCTTTTTCCTCCATTTTCAAAGAGAGTAAGAGAAGAAGAAGAAGTTTCTCAGGAGACAATCACGGAAATATTTACACGACTGGATGAAAATCAGGGTCTGAATGAGGAATACTGTTCTTTAAATATAAACACAAAAAATAGAGTTATAGTTGAAATCCTTTCAGATGTACAGGTAGTGTTTGAGGCGTGTGAAAACCCCCTTCATGTTCCACGTTTCATCCGAGAAGAAGGAGAGAGTATACAGCACCAGAGGAAGGTTACAGTACGTCTGAACGTAGTGTGAATGAAACGTAACAGGAGTGTCAAATACTTATATAAGAACGTACAATTCAGCTTTAAATACCAGAACACCTGCTCAGGTTAAAAGTAGTGCTTCATTTTTTTGTACAAGTCCTTCAGTTCTTCAGTAACAGCAGGAATGTTTACAACACTTTCAATTATATTAACCCTTAGATGCATAAGTGGGTCTTTTTGGACCCGGTGAGGTGGTTTTCTTGAAGTATCTTTGTAATTACATTTTTTAACATTTCATATTCTAGCTATTCCTCAAAAAACATGTTTTGGATATCATGCCATTCAAATTTACATTTTAAGAAATTGTAGTTTTTGTATTACTACCCCAAGTTTCCATAAGTGGGTCAAAACTGACCCGCATGCATTTCCTATGGAATCCTATGGGAAAACGTTTTTTTTCAAAATGTAAAAAAAATTCTAAAATTCTAAATAGTGAGAAATTAAATATCAAATATTTCTAGTGTGAACCAAAATATAATACTAAATATTATACAAGTGATTTTTCTTAACCAAAATGACAAAAAAACACATATTATTCTAATACGGGTCCTTTTTGAGTGTAGGGTCCAGTCACTCGTGCATCTAAGGGTTAAACCAAAGTCTAAACGTCATGAGGGATCATTCAGCTGAAATGTCAACATTTTAATATCTACGTGGTTCTCTCATCATAACGCGGAACATATTATTTACGAGGCAATAAAACGGCAAAGCTCTTTTAAATGTAGAGATGGTGGAAGTACATGAACGCTCAAACTGAACCGCAAAACTATTTTAAATCAGGTGGCATGGCTACGACTAATTCATGTCATTGTCAATCAATCAATTAACTGTCAGAAAAAACAATAAATGTTTCCCAAACTCAACATAACTTCCTCAAACGTGTTGTTTTGTCCACAACTTATTATACAATATTTAGTTTACGGTCATTAAGTAGTAAAGAAATCAAAAAGTCTTCAAATATAAGCTGAAAAATCAGGAGAATTCTGACTTTGTTTTGGTTGGAAATCACTCAAACAGATTTTGTAGGATTGGTTTGTATTTCTACCATGTATATATGCAGGGAATAAAAGATGAGAGGATTTGTGGGCTTGAAAAGTTGTCCAGGTCGAGGACAAAGTATTATATTAATTTTAAAAAGCACATTGTACGTTTGACTTGTTGCACATTAATGAGCGCATTTTAATGTTCCTGGGGTTAGTCATCGTCCAATGAAAGTGTCTTGTTTACTTTAGCGTTATATTCGTAATAACAAGGTACTGCATAACGACATTAAGAGCAATGCTGTAAATCAATAATCAGCGTTATGCCGTTATGTTTTTTTTAGTATCAGCTTATTGTGATGAAGTACTTTGATCTGTTACGGACAATCCTTTGAGATTATTTGATCCATTACATTTTCCCCATTAAATGTTAATTGTTCATTGTTATAATTAATTGTCATATAAAATTGCATATACCATGATTTCCTCTATATCTCCCACCCGTAATGTTGGTTTAGATTTCAATATAAAGTGAAACAGCGATGACCACAACGACAGCAGCTGTGAAACAAAAACAACAACAACAACAGAGGAGGAGTGATGTGAGGGTTCTTCCATCGTGTCTTCATGTTTCCACCGTCACGTCTCCATAGAGCGGAGCAGTGATGACGTATTGTTGTCGACCAGGAAGTAAGCGGCGGCAAGGGTTCCCTCGACTAAAAAGCAACGGGATTTCGGAATATTGTAAAAAAAATAAGGTCTGTGGAAAACGAGCCTGTTTGATAAATGCACGTTTTGTTCAGCCGGATAATCTCCACATGTCTACTTTTATAACTTTCCAATCGTAAATCTAATCGCCAGAAGCAAAATGCTAACGTTATGCTATAAACTAACTACAGCAGGGTCGCACGACTTCGACGTCACGCCAACTTAAGATCCATATTCAAAAATACAGATTCTAAATGTTACAAGTTGAAGCGTTTGTTTGAACAGTTTGCAGGAGGCAGGTACTTGCTTTCAAGCAGAACACGGCAAACTAACTTATAGGATTGTTTTACGTGTTCGGCGTAATGACGTACGGCCTCGACAACTTCTGTAGTCCTATTCAGCCACTTGTTAACAACCATCATTTTTCAGACACGTCAACTCTTCAGGAATCACCAGTGGGGTCACTGCTGATGGATTTAATGTCGTAGAACATTAGAACGTGATCCGTCTCTTAAATTTGTTTCAACCACAGACCTTATTTCCAGCTATTTTCCAAAAACTAGTTCAAAAATCCCGTTGACTCTGAGACGAGGGAAGCGGAAGTGATAAAATGCTAACTCACTTCCTGGTTTTAGGACTCGTCACTGCACCACTCTATGACTCAGCAGTAACTCCAGGAGTCCGTCCCTCCGAAGAAAAACACAACTCGTCTCCACACGTTCAAAGTAAAAGTGTCCATGGCAGTGAAGCAGGAGTCTCTGCTCGTCTCAGGCGTAGAACACGAGCTCGGGGATCTGTCCTCCCTGCACCCCGGTGCCGTTGGTGCTGTCCGAGGAGCACTGGAACTGGAAGGTCACTTTCCCGCACTGAACCTCCGTCATGCCCTCCTGCCCGAAGTAGCTGAGCTCGTTCCCGTCCAGCACCACGCTGGCGGTGTAGAAAGTGTCGGGCTCGATCTGCACCGGGTAGTCGAAGCTGACGGGGAACGTGCTGCTGGATCCGTCAGAGAAGTACTTGATGTTCCTCTGAGCCATGGACACGCCCTGGCGCTTCAGCTCGATCTTAGCGCTGTATTCTGCCGAGCCGCAGCTGGATCCGTACAGACCGAATCCCGCGATGAAGACCCGTTTGTCCACGGCGAACTGGATGCTGTCGCAGCGCCCTCTGTATCGCCACTGGTTGCTCCTGTAGGCGCACGACTGGAAGCGGTGGCAACGCTGCGGCGCCAGACCTTTACGAGGTTTGCTGCAAAACAAGAGTTCGGGCTTCTTGGCGGCGGTGAACCACAGGAAGATGTCGTTGGTTTCGTTGAGCGTGAGCACGCCGGACTGCGCCGCTCCGTCTGCGAAGTCCTCCAGCACCATGGTGGGGATGCGGATCAGGTAGATGGCTTTCCCCAGAACCAAGCGCTTGTTCTCGATCGTC